TTTTGAAATATTCACATTAGGCCCCAAAACAATCTTTTCTCACAATCAAGTCCTTAACTTACACTTCAATATTCCCGAAAATTTGGGATATTACACTCACCCCTCTTAAAAAGGAGTTTTGTCCCCAAAACTCAAATTGAGAACCATATCAACTGGTGAGCGACTTCACACAATCCGAGACAAAACAATTGCCTCATCACTTTCTAGGAACAGAACACGGCCTATTACGCTTTCGCTGCGCCACTCTGATATCAATCCACAGCTAACCATAAAAGCAAGACACTAGCTACTTAACAGGGTTTACCATGAAATGAGCTACTAGAGGCTGGGGTAATATGGGAAGCACAACGAATAAAAATAAATCCTGCCAAAGCCACAAAAGAAACAATTGTGGGGTTACGCTTTGAACCCAACACAAGACGAGTTGACAAAGAATGGCATGGATTTAAAGATGAATACAACAAAACTTTGAACTCTATCAAAGACGGATAAGCATCCAATGGATATATGGATCATAAATGAATGAATAAGTGCATGGATGCCTTGTAAATTCTTCCACAAAACAAGGTTAACCAGAACCAAGATCATATTTAACAAGGCAACTGGAATCAAGAGGCAGATTTTAGCAATTAACAAGAGTTAAAAGCTAGGACCATCAAATGACATGTAAAATTTCAAGAATTGCATCAGAATAAAATCAATGGAAAATATGAAGGCTTGGAAGAATACTGGAACACAAGAGTGCAAGGTAGAATGCCTCAAAAATTCAGCAACACAATGGCATTCACCAAGAATCAAGATCAAATTTAACCAAGCAGTCAAAATTGAGAAACAAGAGTTAACCATGAAACAAGCAATAGAATTCCAAAAATTAGACCCACAAAAGAGATTTCAATAATGGCAACCAAAACACGGATTCAAGAACAGATATAATCAAGATATCAAGATCTAGCACCTCAAGTACTAGAATTAATTAATAGAACAAAACAATGGCTGGGATCAAGATGCTTAGAAGATTACCCTTCATCTCGTAGCCCATGGAGACTGAGCAGATTTACAATCAAGTCATCCTAGAGTCAAGTCATCCTAGAGTCAAGTCAAAGCTAAGACATCAAGGATATAGAGATTAACACTCACAAGAGACAGAAATTTAGGATGCCTCATATAGGTATCTTCTAATAACAATCACCCCTCCTAAAGAGGTGTTCATATGAACAAAATCAAAATCAAGAATATCAACAGGTATACTGACACAAGAACTAGTAGAACATTCAGGATTCGAGCAAGAGCAATATATAGAATTTGAGCAAAAGCAAGTGTCAGAACAAGAATGGTTTTCAAGGACAATTCAAAATAGATTTCAAGAACAGTGCAAGAATTAATTTCAGACAAGAATCAAGATAATGAGGATTCCAATAATCATTATCCATTTCTGGATTTCAATTTCAAGAACAAGTACAAAGCAATATCAAGAAAGATTCAAGACGGATTTCAAGAGTTTCAAGCAATTCCCAGATATCAAGAATGTAGAGATTGGCAACAATAGAGTTTAACTTTATGACAGCTTGCCAATCTTCACAAAAAGACAACAATTTCAATTGAATACTCACTGCTCTTGATTAACCAATACAGAAAAATGAGCCACATGAAAAGACCACGAAGCTTCAAATGGAAAAAGTGAAACTTCACTATAACACTTTCAGAAGATAAGGAAACACATCTAGAAAAATACACAACATTGGCTAAAATAGCCTGGAATCTCTTGCAAAGTAGAGGGTTTACCCATCCTCCATTGGTCATGTGACAAACAAAACAAATTCTTCACCAGCTATGCTGTAGAGACCAATAGGATCAATAACAAAAGTCTCTGCAACTCCCCAAATTTTACAATTGGGGCAAAAGAGCATACAAAATTCTATTCACGTAACAAGCCTAAACAAGTGCGGACTATCAGAAAATGACCAAGTTTTAAAACAAGGTCTCAGGACATAACGGGCAAGATTACTTTCACAACTTCACACAGAGTATGAAGGCAAGAAACAAGAACAATCAGATTGCCATCTCATCGAAATGGATGAGAAAATTCAGGCAACATGAATCAGAATTGTCCCTTATATAACCCCATCACTCGTCTCACCACGGGTCTAAAATCCACTGGCTAGCCAAGTCCAAAACAAATCCTAGGTATTCAATTAAACCTACGCTCGGATATCACTCAATCTGCTCTAATGCCACTCAATCTTGAGGTGCTTAATTTAATCCAAAACTCTTAATTTAAACTTAAACTCTTAATTTCAACCTAAGCTCTGATACCACTTTATCTGTCACGCCCCAGAACCCAAATCCGGGAACGTGGCAGACGCCGTGCACTCGTGAGACGGGTCCCACAAATGCACAAGGCTCGAAACTTATCCAATTCACACTCTGATACCATCAAAATCTTAAGATCAATTTTATAAACTCTCTGATATCATAAATCTCCAATACAAGATCATGATTATATATAAAACTTCATATCCAATTACAATATGGCTAGCCTTCTAACTCGTCACTTCCCGTGGTTTCCCCGTCCTCGGTTTCACTTCCTGAAATGGTGGACAAGGAAAAACTATGAGATAAACTCAGTAAGTAAAATATGGAGTGCC